AGTCCAAGACATTACTAATTAATTTAATTAGTTAAATTAATTATCAAATGTTTAAATTTTGAATTTTGAATTTGAAATTTGAAATTTGAAATTTGAATTTTGAATTTTGAATTTTGAATTTGAAATTTGAATTTGGAATTTTGAATTTTGAAATTTGAATTTTGAATTTGAATTTTGAAATTTGAAATTGGAAATTTGAATTTTGAAATTTGAATTTGAATTTAGAATTTGAATTTGAATTTAAAATTTAAGTGTTTGAAAGTTTGAATTCAAATGTTTGAAATTCGAATTTGAATTGGCTATGAAAAGTTGTTTCATAACAAAAGGATAAGATGAGATCTTGTTAGAACATATCAAGAGGAAATCTTTTGGACATAATCTAAGAAGATTTGGGGTGCTGATTTGGCTGTTGGTTAGTCATCAGAATCAGCTCCAGAAGATACGATCTGTTGGGAGAATATTTGAGTGATTTGATTCAAGTTTGAATGCAACTACTCAAATGTATCTGGTCATTATTTAGGCTATATGGGGCGCACCATATAACTGATTATATGATGATTTATGATCAGATATTTGATTAGGTTTTGAACCTAATATATCATAAAGATATGATAGGATGTTGTTGGCAAGATTTGATGAGATTTGATTTGCAACAAATCCTATTCTCTCTCTCTCTTTGATGGAGCGCCCTTTTGGAAGGTATTTTTATTGATTAAAAATCTGATTTGTTTTTAACAAATAGGCTCCTCTTGTGCGCCTCTATATATATGTTCCTTCTAGGGTTTTTAGAAAACCAACCAAGCCATTCTCTTCTCCTCTCCTGCGCCACTTTTGTGAAGTTTTCACATTGAAAGCTTCACTCTTTCAAACACTTTTACCTAGCCTTTCTCTTCACACAGTGTGCGCTTAGCAAGCCTCATTGTAGTGATCACTTGGCGGTTTCACAAGAAGGAGTTCTTGCACCTAGACGCAGTGGGTGGTGTGGATCAACGTTAGAGGGTCTGAACCCTTCAGACCTACCTTTGATCATCACGAGTTTTCACGAACAAGGTAACATCATGCTTTCCTAAAGCATGATCTTGAATGCATGTGTGTTCCGCAATGAAAAAGTTTTGTTTTTCCCTCCAGCATGCATCGGCCTTCAAGGCCATTTCCAACTTGCATGAATATTGTTGTCCCCAGCAAACAATTGGGGGAAATGGCTTAAAAATTAAAAATCATATTCAAAGAGGAATATGTATAGTTGTTTAACACAAGTGGCAAACAAATTTTTTTCTTCATTTTTTTTTTGTTTGGAGTTAACCAACCCTAATTTTTGGAGGAATATTTAATTATCTCTTCATTTTCTCACTTATTTATTTTTCTTTTTCATGCTATTTTTCTTTTCTTTAAACAACTTCCGTTTTTCAAAAAATTTCTTTTCCTTTCTCTTTCTTTTCTCCTTTTTCCTTTTTAACCAATCTATATTTTCTTGGCTTTTTCTCTTTTTCACCTATTTCTCCCATACATCAAGAAATTAAATACAACAATTATACTCAATTCCTTAATTCAATTATGAAATTTAATCATAATTTGGATGAGGCTGTGTATGTGGAGTGGATATTCACATGTATAGGTTTTAAAATAATAAATAGGCCTATGCTCAAGGGGGCTCAAACAAAGGAAGTAACATATAGGTTGACTATTTGGCCATCTAGTTAAAAGAAAGAAAATGTCTCTATCATCTCAACAATCATATATCATAGACCATCTTAAGCAAGAAACAAAACAAGTTTTAGAGTGTTTCATACAATGAAGTGCACATCGAATAAAATTATCTATTTTGGCTCAAAAACTCACAGCTATGGGTGCATGATTAATTTATTATTCTCTATCCAAATCATTCTAAGTTATTCTCCTAATATTCTTTTTTGGAAATATTCGTTCATGCACTAAGATAGTCACTAATCAACTTCCTATCAATTATTCATTCATGCACTTACGCTGAGTAATTTTTTTTTTTTACTTAATTAATGATAATGGAGATGGGAAATCTAGACTAGAAAAAAAAACAAAATAATTCAATAAAATTACAGTAAAAAGAAAAAGAATGAGATATTTCCCTGATCTAGCTGGATGTTCTGTGTATACTCATGAATTCCTTTCGACCAAGTAGAGTAGTTCCTGATATGTTACCCTATGCCCAGATTTAAATGTTGTTGTCCCCAACAATTAATTTAAATCTACAAATAACCCAGCTAAAAATCAGAAAAACTAGTCGCGCTCTGAAACAAAATAAAATGAACATGAATCATCAGTCGTCAGAATGCATAAACGATGTCAGGGTTATCTCAATACCCATATCAGAAAGGGAAAATAAAAGTATTAAATTGAACCAAGACTCGAAGAAAATAATATGAAAACTAAAAAATGGCAGAAACAAGGAAAGGTAAAATGGTGTTTTATATTTTTCTTCCTCCACTAATTTTATTTGATAGTAACCAGATTCTATGTCAAATTTTGATAAGATAGTGGCATCATACAATCTTCCAGTTAAATCTTTTTTTGTTTGATAAAGGATATCTTATTCACTTTAAAACTTTATTATTATTATTATTATTATTAATATGAATTTAATGTTTCTGCTTTTATTACATAAATTTTTTTTCTGCTACACTCATATAAAAGTGAATGGTCCCATTAATATTTTTTTTCTCTTCTCCTTACATTGAGACCCACTTATGTTTATGTGAATGTGGCAGAATTTTTTTTTCTAGAAACCATATATATGTATATGTTATTTTACCTATTTCTTTTTCTATCTACTACTCTCCAATATCATTAGATCAGAATCTTTACTATCTTTATTATTTTTCTGATCTAATAGTATTGGAGAATGATAGATAAAAAAAGAGATAGGTAGAATAATGTATCCATATATATATATATATATAATTGATGTTCTTATGTATAATATAAGACTAAGAAATTATACTCTTTATCTTAGCCGTTTATTTTTATCTATGTGACTATTGTAGTTTGTTGAGAGATATGTATTAATTAATTATTATATCCAAAAAACTAGAATCATCATATAGACAAAAATTAACAGCTGAGATGTGGAATAAAATTTCTTAAACTTATACTAGAGTCAAAAGATATGTAGCTAAATTTCTTATATATAATTTTATAAGAATTACTGTAATATTTTTATGAATTTTTTATATTTTAAGTAAATTGTTAATTATTTTCCAATTTATCCTGATTTTCAAATATGAAAAAAAAAACAAATATTTAGATTTTTTTATTTATCAAATTAACTTTTTTTTTCTCGTGCCATGTCAATCCACGATAGCCTTTCATGTAAAATGGGCTAAATGGATTTCGATCTTCCTAACGCAGAATAACTAAATAAAAGTAAAGTATCAAAATGCAATATTTATAAAAAATAATGATAACATATAAATTTAACGGGAGAGGCTATACTTATTATTTTTTTATTATATCTAACTATCAAATTTTAATTATTAATTTTCGTCAATCTAATGGTTATAATTTATTGGATCATACTTATCAATTAATTATTAAATTCTAATGATTATAAGCATTAGATTGACAAAAATCAATAATTAATTTTTAATAATAAAAGATAATAAAAAAGTAATAATAAATAGGGAAAATTTCATTTTTACCCATTGTGGTTTTGTGATTTAACATTTGACCCCCTGTGGTTTTAAACTTATCACTTAGACTTACTGTGCTGAAATAATTTATCTTTTAATTCTCTATGGTTTCAAATTTTTACTTAGACTCCTTGTGGTTACAAAAAATTTCACTTAAACCCCTTATGGTTTCAAATATAAACATTTTAAAAATATATTTAAAATAAATCTTCTCTCTTTTTTATTTTATATCCTCATGTAATGCATTTAGGGTTTGAAAAATATTTTAAGTTATTTATTCTGAAATTAATTTATAAATTATCTTAATTTTTTTATTTTAAAAACATATTTGAAATTAAAACAATTATTTAAAATGAAATTAAAAAATATTATTTATGATAAATTAAATATGTACTATCAAAATAAGATATTTACTTTCTTTAAATAGATAAAATACAAATATTTGATTTGAATTTATTTTCTTGATAAAAATAAGTTAATTTTTTTAGAATTTTTTTTTAAACCTTAAATGCATTAGGTGAGGATATAAAATAAAAAAGAGAGAAAATTTATTTTCCTCTTATTTATTTTTTAAATTTTTTAATTTTAAACCACATGGGGTCTAAGTGAAAATATTTTTAACCACAAGGAATATAAGTGAAAATATGAAACTACGGGGGGTTAAATAATAAATTATTTAAGCACAATGAATCTAAGTGATAAGTTTAAAAACACGGAGGATCAAATGATAAATCACAAAATCACAATGGGCGAAAATGAAGTTTACCCTAATAAATATAACGTTTTCCAAAAAATTTTTTGGTTTGGATACGGAGCGCAGAGGGGGCTGCACCGCACACGTTTCCCAAATTTAATTAAGACATAGCATTGTGGTTTACGATTAACTTAGATGTCATTAAATTAATTTAATATAATTTATAGAAAAATGATATTGTAACAATCAATAAATATTACTACAAATTAATTTTATCGTTAGATCGATTATGTTGATCTAACGGTTATATTTATTTCAATCTTTATATGATTATAATTTCTCATATTTAATACTTTATATTTATTTTCACTTTAGTATGATTATGATTTCTCATATTTAATACTTTCACGTTAAATATAGAGAATCATAACCATAAAAAGATGAAAATAAATATAATCATTAAATTAATATAATCGATATACCGATAAAATTGATTGATAATAATTGTTAATAACACTTAATTAATTATTAGAATATCCTGGCACTAATTTGTAATGTTGTAGAGCTAGAGTAGGCCTATATATCTATTATCAACATCGTACTTATCTCTGTCACCTGCTTCTCTCTCTCTCTTTGATCTCTTCTCGTCTGTTCCTAGCAGAGAAAAAAAAGTTTCAACTTTCTTTGAACCCCAACACCCCTTCCTCCTTTTTCACTCTCTTTCTCTACCCAACGCAAATTCTCTCTCTGTCTCTGGTGTTCATGGGTCGCCCACCAAGTAATGGAGGCCCTGCCTTTCGTTTCATTCAGTCCGAGGTATTCATCTATTCCATTCAACTCTCTCTCCAACTTTTGAAGTTCAGATGATTCTTAGATGCTTTTTTTTTCCCATTTCGTACTTAATGTAACGTGTTTTTATGCTAAATTTCTAATCTTGTGCTACGTTAATCAACTGGGTCTCCTTCGTAACTGCTTGATTTTGGGGCTATCAGTTTTCTCACTGGATTTTTTGTTCCATATAATTTTGCAGTGCATATGCATTATATTAGGTTTCGGAGTAGTGGCTATTTCCATTTATGTTGTAATAATAAACCAATGTTGGGTGCTGAAAATATATGCATCATGTTAACGAGCTTAGATTCGACATGAATTAGGGAAAATGATAGCTGCATCATTTTTTTACATCCCTTGTCTAGGTTCCACCTCATTTTGTGACTATTCCTATCCAAGTTTTGGGAAGTGGTGTGAAATTGATGTGATGTGCAACCAGCCTTAGGTTTTGGGTATATAGGATTTAAACTATGAGCGTTGAGCAGCTACTCCTTCTAATCTTCATTGAAATTGGAAAATTTTCTACCTGTTTTGTCCGTTTATGGATGTCTATATCTCAATGCTGGTTTAACCATGTTAAAATTTGTGTCTATTTTTCTTCTCCGGATTTTCTGATCGCGCACGTGTTTTATACACTTGTGCTGATGATTGGCCTCTGAGATGTGTTTGTTTATCACCCAACTTTATTTATTTATTTAATGCTACAAAATTTCTTGTTTGGTGAACCATTTTTGTCCAAAACCGAAGGGAAGCCTTAAACTGGCCAATCTCACCTGTCTTAAATATGGCATTTAATTAGATACGGAAGTTAATCAAGATGGAATAATAGAAGTGGATTGGATGGTTGCCATATGTTTCAAGTGGGTTTCCTTTTCAACTTTTTTATGAAAGAGTTGCCTTCCCCCTCCCTCTCCTCCATTTGAGTCAAAATAGGTCTAACCTTATTGGAATTGAAGAAGGGAGATCAACAGAGACTCCACTAGGAGTGGCGTGTGATAGCAGATTGAGGTTTAATGGAAAACAAACATGAAGATCCATTCCTCTGCAGCCAATGCTTGTTTATTTGGTTGAATGAAACAGAATGGAATGGAATGGATTACAATTGTAATGGAATGTGATGGAAATAATACGATCATCATTCCTTTGTTTGTATAAAATACCTTAAGGAAAGAAACAAATGATTTATGTATGTTGAGGAATATAGCGAAATGGATGGGAACTGAATTATTTGTAGCGGGTTATACCGCCATTATAGCAACGTAGCACCGCCTGGCCACTACCCAGAATTGGCAGCACTTTTGTTTAGTGGGCATAGTGGCTGCTATCTCAGCCAAGATAGCAGAGAATAACGACAAAGGCGGCAGGTGGCAGCTCCTTGAAGTGTGGGTAAAATCCCTTCTTTGCCCTATCTCTGCATTATCCCAGCAGCAAATTTCGAGGACAATTTCAAAATCCTCCCCCTTTAACCAAATCTTTGTTCTGCCCATCTTCATTATCAAAACCCTTTGAGAAACCCTTGGAGATGTAGCTCTCTCTTTCTCTCACTTTACTACTTGTCGGCAGTTTTCTGGCCACTGCTCTGTATCTCTCATCTGTTCTGTCAATGCCACTGTACACCCACTTCTCGCCTGTGATTTCTCGGCCATCACTGCTTTTTCTGGCCAAGCTCTTCACTTCTATATAGCAGCTATCCCGATATAGCGATTTTATACTCAACCGCTACATGACGCTACCTGAGATTGATAACTATGGATGGTAAATGTAAAAGCTTTGATGAACTTTACCATTTTAATTATGTTTTAACTTGTTTCCTTTCATTGTTACTGTATAAAATTGGAGGTTACTTAAATTTCATAATAATTATTTCCATTTCCTCTGTTTTATGTCAAACAAACAATTAAGGAAAAATTCTTCCCTGGGGAACGTCTAATTCACGTGCCTTTATTTCTAACCGTTCTTACTTGGAGAACACCTAATTCGCTTGGCTTTCATTCTATCCTTTCTTACAGCCCATCCTAATTGGGTTGTTTCTCCATTTATTTTTCATTCTAGACCCTTCTACTCTATTGAAGTATATCAGCTGTGTGTGAGTTGTGAGACATGTAACTGCAATTTGAAGTAGAGGTTATCCCCTAAGACCTTAACACCTAGCTTTTAATAGTGTGCACTCGTGTGCAGTAACTGGCAGCGAAACTCGGTTTGTCCATCTGTCAGTGTGGATGAACATCCCTCTCCAACCTGACAGGATTATTGTTGGATGTGAGATCCATATTGGTTTGTTGTACTCTCTCGTTATCCCCTTTCCTCTTCATTGTTGTAGAACAGCCACAATGAAGGGGTTTGACAACTTCAAGTGGGATTTTGGTCAGAGGGACCTACCTTTATCTAATGCCCATTTGGCTTGGTCTTCAATGAGAGAGCTACCTTCTTTTTCAAGGATGGATAGGTTTCTTATCCCAAGTACTTGGGATGGGAGGACATATTTCTGGATTTGGCGTGGGAGATCTTGCAGCACCCTATTTCTGACCCTTTCCCTGTTTTTCTTGAGTCTTGTGAGGTTAAGTGGGCCCTTACCCTTTTATGCTTTGAGAACATGTGATATAATTCTCTCATTTATGATGCCATTGCCCTACCTTCTGCTTTATGATGCAATACAAAATGACACTCAATTAATGATAGAGTAGAACAGAAGGCTAGATACGGATGAAACATTTTCCAAGAGTGCTGATAAAAACTATTTTTATCTTTATATAGGTATCAGAAATGGAAGCTATTCTTCAAGAACACAACAATGCGATGCCAGCACGTGATGTTCTTGCGGCTCTTGCAGATAAGTTCAGGTGTGCCTCAGTGCCCATGCTATGCTTGAGTATTTTAATGAGTATGAGACTTTGAGTACTATTTAGTATGCTCCTGAAAAGTGGGATTAAAGTTATGAACTTTTGTTTTTTAGTGAATCACCTGACCGTAAAGGCAAGATTACAGTGCAGAGTAAGCAAGTATGACAACTACATTTTATTGTGATAAGGAATCTTTCATACTCCATTTTCTTAGTTTTCCTCTCTATTATAGGTTTGGAATTGGTTTCAAAATAAACGGTATGCAATAAGGGCAAAATCAAGTAAAACTCCTGGAAAGTTAAATATTACACCTATGCCTCGGGATGATTCAGCCCCAGTAAGGAATATGCCTCAACCAACAGCTGCTCCAATTCCCACTGCTTCAGGTTCAGGTAAAATGTTGTTGCTGCTTTTAAGTGCTTAATTTCATTCACTTTGATTGAATCCATTGCCACACTTATTTGTTAGTTCTGCATGCTTTATGTTGTCTTATTTTCTTTTGAAAGTTTGAACATGCTGCCTACAAAGCTCATCTTCAATTTCCCAGTTTCTTGGATGACTAATTTATTGAGTTGATTATGCTAATTTTACCAATCTGTTTAGTTTATAGTGTACTAACTTCAAGGGCTAGATGCATATGTACTTCATTGCATTATTTTTCTAGTTTGAACATGCAGTGTTATGTGCAAGAGGAAGGGCAAATAGTAATGAATTATATTGGGGAGGGCTTTCTGCTCATTACCAGCTTTGTCTACCACAATTCTCTTTTCCCTTTTGTTTTGCATTATCATTGACTTCTACCCTTATAATAACCAGAGTAAAAAATGGGGTCAAATCATCAAGGGTTGGAAGCTCATTGGTTTCATGTCCAACTTGCTAATAATACAAAAAGAGTAGTATTTTGAAAGCAAAATATGTTAACATATTATTGCCTGAAATGCCAATTTTGTTAAACTGAAATGTACAAATGAATCAAATGATACATGTTGAGTCAAAACTTGATCTTGCAAGTTTTCTTGTGAAAATATCACTTTTCTGATCATTAGTGAAGAGTTTTTATGAACTCTGCTGGGAGCTACCATTGCATATATATCATGGTCTTAGTAGCTGGCGCTGCTGAGTTTCAAATACCATTAATGATATTGCTTTTCCACAGATTGCCATTAATGCTGTAAATGCGGCTTTCTAAGCCAAATTTTTCAGTTTCATTTTGTTTTGTATTAGCGGAAACTATTGACTGACAGTTTAGATTTTTTCTGAAGCAAAACTAGCACTTTCAATTCTTTTAAAATGTTGCTCACTTCTGCTGCTATAAGATGTGTTGTAGGAGATGAACTTCCTGTCACTGTTCCAAGTTAAATATATATTATGCACTACTAGCTGTAAAAATTTCATGACATGTAAGGTTGCAAATGTTGTATAATTGTGGAGTGTTGCAAATGATTCGTCCACACTCAATGGTTGGTATATATTGCCTATTAGTTCTCAGATGACGGATGGTACATATTGGTATAATGCTTATTAGTTGTAAAATTGTTGTGTGTAATGCAAAATCAAGTACATGATCATTTCAACACCAGCTTTCATAAGGTCATTGTTGTGTACTTTAAGCTTTGAGTAGAACATTTAGAGAATTTCCTGTTATTATTTTTTATTTGATTTGCTTTAACAAGTTTCTACTGTATGCTTTTATGCTTCAGTCATGCATGGCTGAGATACCAACACTGAATCTCTCTGAAGACTATTGGGCTGTATTAGAATGATGAGTCATGTTATGTATCTTGTTTTCAAAGTATTTTCTACAGTTTCATTTGAACTGGTTTTTTAAACTTGTCTAGCTTTTAACATGTAACAGATACTGTATGATACTAAAATCAGTATATCTGCAACCTGATACAGATTTGGTACTATCTTTCATCATACTTAAGTGTTATTTCAAGCAAGTTGACAAGTGGCTAACGATTCATCTTAGGTTGTGACTGAGCTTAAAAATTAAAACTCCTTTCCAAATTGTTTATCTCTGAACACATATTATGCTGCTGTATTTTTTTAGCTTACATGATATAATGTTTTTCACAAATATGTTAATATACGATGACATAACTGAATAGTAATACACTTGAGTTTGGTGGTGATGAACTGGGCTGAAAGATTCATTTTCTGCTGCCTTAAATTGTTCTTCTTCTTACTATTATTATTATTGGGTATAATGCTGCTTTAAATCTTTAATAGGGAAAACCCCTGGTAAACAAGGCTCCCTGACTTTGAGAGTCGATTGCATGCAGCCTTATCCCTTGCATTTTTTCAAAAAGGCTATTTCTTAGATTCGAACCCGTGACTTTCCAGACATAAAAGAGTTACACCGCTACTCTAACTTACTTTAAAACCTTTAATAGTCAATAAAAAATCTTAAACAGGAAAAAGGTCTTACTATGTATGGTGTCTCCATTATAGACTAAAGTCTCTGTTTTTATGCTCTTATTGTTCATTTCATTTACTTACATAGATTATCTTCATTTTGTTCTACTCAGTTCCAACAACAGGAAGAGTAACTCCAGAAAACTCAGTTATGGAATTTGAAGCTAAATCTGGAAGGGATGGAGCATGGTCAATATTTCCTCTTTAATCATGTTTAGGATATTCTGTTTATTTTTCCTCTTAATTATTTTAAATATGTTGACTTTACTCTTGGTCTTCCTCTTGTTAGGTACGATGTAGCAAACTTTCTATCGCACAGATATTTGGAGAGTACTGATCCGGTAATTTTAGGCTGAGATTATTTCAATTGTTAAGTTTTGTGAAGGAATTAAAGAGGCTTTTTGATATGGTTTTTGGTTGCCCTTTCCCCTCAGAATATTTCCTTGGTAATCCAGTGAGTTTTCTACTTATCTATTCCCGTATGCATGTTCATATGAATGTTAACACTGCCTACGTAAAGTTAGGAAGTAAAATGTTCTTTTTGAACCTTAACAGACTTCTTAGAATATATAAGGACCGTTAGTCTTATTGTACGTGATGTGGGCTTGGACTAGTACTGGTATTACTAGTACTTGATATTTAGTTATTGTTGATAATATCCTAATATATCTCTTATCCGGACAATTTAGAAGTTATCTTTATTAAGGATTTAATTTGCAATAAGATTTGAATTGTTATCCTTTAATACAAATTTATAAGGGCTGAGAGAAATTTTCTCAAGTAAAAATTCCGATTATTCTAAAGAGTTCAAGTTGATATCTAGAGCCTCCTTCTCTCTCTTTGTTCTGAATCACTTTGGCCACCATTGTGAACAAAGTCCAGCTAAGTTGCTACCACTGTGAACGACTCTGGTGAAGTCTCCGATCACCAAACACGGGTGAGGTGTCAACATAGAATGGACCAATTGACCTATCCCTGGAAGACCAACAACCATCCATCATTGGATGTGCCACCACTTTGCACAGCACAGCTCGGTGTGTAGCCCTCATGCCCACCTTTCACCTATTATGCTCCCTACAGACCCATTCTAACATAGTGGCTCAGATCATGTCTTGGTTCATGTTTTGCTCATGGCTACGGACTCTTCTTCTGTCACCTTTGGCCCTTCCAAAAAGGATCTTGTTTCCTTTGCTTTTCTGGAACACATGCTATAACATTATAAAAAGCAAATGGAAACAATTATTTGGACTAGAATGAGGTTGTTGATATATGGTTTCACAGCCAAGAATTCTCGGATAGTTTGAACAAGTAACCTGAGTCAATTCTGGCCAATGAATAGTGTAAAGAACCAATTCAACCCAAAAGCTTAAGCTGTTGGGTGAGGTTACATTAATGGTTTTATATATCTCAACACGTCCCCTCACACGAGAGCCCACTGGGCTTAAAGGGTGGACAATGCACAGGCCCACCCCACCTACCTGTGCGAAGAAAGAAATTCCACTAGAAAGAAAGTGGGGGGCGGTGAGGATCGAACCCGGTAATACCATTTAAAGAACCAATTTAACCCAAAAGCTTAAGCTGTTGGGTGAGGCTACATTAATGGTTTTATATATCTCAACAAATAGGATGAATGGTGTAAAGAATCTTGGGATACACCACCCCAAAAGCTAGCTCAAAGGGTGGGAGTGCCCAAGGCCTTATAAAGGCCACATTAGTTGTCCACACAATCAATGTGAGACTATATATCTCAACACGCCCCCTCACACGAGAGCCCATTGGGCTTGAAGAGTGGACAATGCAACAGGCCCAGCCTACCTGTGCTAAGAAACGCCACAAGAGAAAATGGGGGGCGGCGAGGCTGTGATACCATGTAAAGAATCTTAGGATACAGCACCCCAAAAGCTAGGTCAAAAGGTGGGAGTGCCCAAGGCCTTATAAAGGCCACATTAGTTGCCCACACAATCAATGTGGGACTATATATCTCAACAAATGGAAAAAGGCTGATTATAAGTTGGTGTCTTTATTATGACAGACTATTGACACAAAACTGTTGTTGAACTTTAGCTAATACAAGAGATGGTATTAGATACGGCAAAAATCTCAGTGTTTATGTTAATGATGTGCAACATCTATGATGTTGTTCGTAGCTCTCCATATGACAGACCTCAACATGCCATCTTATTTGAACAATGCCCAGTCCGCCATTCTCTTGCATGATGACCATCAAAAGATTCTACAAGGCTTGATATATTACGTATGGTATTCATCCTCCATGGTTTACATAAAGCTTTTGAATTTGTTCAAAATCAAGTTTAGATATCCCTACAGTGGAGGATCTGATCAATAAACTAGTTCGTGTTCTTTCTTTAGAAGCAACATCCGAAACCCAGGAAATCCATAGTTGGTTTTCAATGGGTTTTTAAGGCCAAAGCGGGCCCTGACCGATAGATTGTTACGGTTCTACATTCTTTAAATAAGGAAACAAAAGGAAAAATGGGAAGAGGAAGAACAATATGGTTTTATTGATGAGAAAACCAAATGAACATACAAGAGATAATTCTCTTGACAAGGGGCACTCCCCTTCTCACTGAGCACGCTCAGTCACTCTTCTGGAAAAATATCATTCTATCCCATAGAGAGGACAACTCCCCCTTTTATACCAAAAAAAAATCCACCCAACTAACTAACCACCTCCTAAGCAACTCTCTAATCATTGAGTATATTCTTTCATTCTTTCAGGTTTATTATCCTTTCCCTTATAATACAAATCGTATCAATACCACCCCCTTATAAAACAATCATTTCCTCAAGGTTGAAGCCCCAAAACTGATGCTGAAAAATATGCAGATCCTACAATGATGCATCCTCAGGCAGTAATGCTACCATTGAAATAGGAACTTAGCTACCTGCTCTCTCTGCTGTAGCACTGTGTCTCTATATGCGCCAGAACCGTGTGTCCCTAGTGCTGTGGCAGAAAAATGATGCATGATCCTAGTGGCAGAGCCAGGAAATAATTTTAGCCCGTGTCGAAAAATCCAGCCAGCTAGAACCCAGCCAGTGCCAAGGCTATACCATTTTTGAAAATCCGACCAGTGCCAAGGCTGTACCATAATATTTAAAGAAAATATGTATCATTTTTGGAGACCAGCTAATGCCAAGGCCCCAGCTGGTCTCCAAGTGGATCCGCCACTGATGATGCCCATGTGTAACTCTTATTTGAGTATACTCTTCTCCTAGATGATGGCATACTACATTTTTTTTAGCATTATCTTTAGATTAAACATATCCAAGATCAAACTATAGGCAGTAGTGCTTAGCACTTCCATTGTCACCACAACACATTTTTGGAGACCAGCTAGTGCCAAGGCCCAGCTGGTCTCCAAGTGGCTCCACCACTGATGATCCCCATGTGTAACTCTTCTTGAGTATACTCTTCTCCTAGATGATGGCATATTACATTTTTTCTAGCATTATCAACTATTAGATTAAACATATCCAAGATCAAACTATAGGCAGTAGTGCTTAGCACTTCCATTGTCACCACAGTAGAAATGACACCATTGACACCTCTAACCGTACCATAACCAAGGAGAGGTGGATAACTGGGAAGCACAACTAGCTGCTGCGAATTTGATGCCTAGGATGACTTCTGATTTGCTTGTGACCGTACAAGTGAACACTCCAAAGCTTGGCCCTCCATTTTATCTCTGTGTTGTTCATCGCCTCCTTGGAACCTGACCCTTCAGCAGTGTGTACAAAACTAGACCTGCTCTTTTTATGTTCCTCTCTAGCAATATTGAAACCACGTGAGACTGTGATATCTCCTTTAGTATTACTAAAAACACTAAACATTCCTTCTGGCAAAATTGTGGCCCATTTTGTATCCCAAGTTTTGTGGGTACTGAAGCTTAGAAAAAGCAACTCCGCTTCTTCCAAATGCCTCATCTTATAGCACTTGTCATCAATCCTCTCATGGATGACCAAATTCGAAACTTGCAAAAATGGCAATAACTTTTTCGAAAGTCCCATCAACATGTCGTGATAAATGGACTATTGCAGCAAAATCAGCGGCTTAATCTCTTTCAAACTTTCTTAGTTGGAAACAAATGCTATTTGGTGTGACTTGGCACTGTTATCTGTCACCAAAAGCTTCACAATCACTGGCAACTTCAGCACCTCCCAGTTCTCGAGATGGTATAGATTTTCCTTGTCATATTCAACTGCCAGCTTTAGGATCTGGTTCTCAGTTTCCAGGCCACTCATTAATGTTGCTGTTACTATCTTGAGTTTTGTCCTCAATTCTTTTGTGGGAAAGTGCTTGTGGTTAATTTCATCGTATTTTGTTTGGGGTTCTGCCTTTACAAATCATGCAACGGTAGCATCTTTCTCCATGTTTCAGGAAGTGCTGGTACGGTTTGCTGGTTTTGGACCTGAGGAAGATGAGTGGATTAATGTCCGAAGGAATGTCAGACCACGCTCTCTGCCATGTGAATCATCAGAATGTGTTGCAGTACTCCCTGGAGATCTCATACTTTGTTTTCAGGTTGCAATAGCTGTGGCCAGGTGTCCGTAAAATGTTAATTTGATCATGGACATATATATTTTCCTTATCATTTATCCCAGTTTTGATTTTTGACATTACAGGAAGGTAAAGAGCAAGCTCTTTACTTTGATGCCCATGTCCTTGATGCTCAAAGACGGAGGCATGACGTAAGAGGCTGTCGTTGTAGATTTTTGGTTCGATATGATCATGATCAGTCAGAGGTATTAATTTTCAGTAAGATTTCGTCTTGTGGTATTTTTAACTTTTATGATTTGTTTCTGTCACGTTATTTTTTGGTTGAAATTAGGTTTTAGTCCCTTTAGTTTTTACTTGTTTGGGCTTTGGTCCATGTAGTTTCTATTTTTGGATATTGATCCCTACATTTTCACCTATTGTGGTTTTGGTCCTTTCTGTTAAGGTATCAGTTCCGATATTTTTCAATCATGTGGGTTTTGGCCTCTATGATTTCTACTCATTAAGGTATCAGTTCCTATTACTGTGCTGCAAAAAGAGTGAACTAGAATGATGTATTACTGTGCCTGTTCAGTCCTATTGGCTATTGCTTGACAATGGTACCATTTGAAAAGAGGCAGAATCATGTGTTTAACAAGAATTTATCAATTTATTTTAAATTTTAATGTAAAAATGCTGACATATAACCGCATAACTGCACCATTAACGGTCACTCGTTCAATGCATTTTGTTGATTCACCTATCTTGTGTCCTTGTCAGGAAATTGTGCCTCTAAGGAAGGTTTGTCGAAGGCCTGAAACTGATTACAGGCTACAGCAACTTCATGCTGTGAATGAGGCAGCGCCTGTGGATCAGCAGAAGAGTGGCATGGATCCAGCATATGTTCATGCTATCAGGGTTACTAGTTCTTCTGAAACAGTGCCAAAGCAGCAGATTACAAACATTCATATCACCCAACCAGTTTTGCAAACAAATGTTCCTATAGCCCCACAAAGTATGAATGTGGATCCAAAGAAAGCTGAAACAACAACTGATTTTCAAGCTGGAAATTCCATCATCACCCCAAGCAATGTCCCATTCACTAGCAGCATTACTTCAAGCAGTGTTCCTGAAGTCTCTAGTCAGAACATGGCTGAAGCAAATTAACTCAGATTTTTTTAATTTTTTTTGTCCTCTGCCTTTTGTGGGGTCATCTTTCCAAACCTTTTATTGAGACTTCAGTACATGTTTTTTTAAACTAGCTAGGGAGTTATCTTTTGAATACAATGCTTATACACGAGTTTCTCTGCTTTATCTGAACTCCGGATATTTAAAAAATAAAAAAAGAGAGATTATACATTGTTCAAGCATATAATTCGCGATTTTTCTCCAGTGAAGAAAAATTGCAATATTCGGAGTAATTACAATAAATTGAGCAATGTAGTCTTTTTTTTTTTTTTTAACTAGTAGATTCTTAATGTAAACCATTAAAAAAAGTCCTCACTTGATATCTGATAGGCATTCAGCATATATATGATTTAAAGCCAAAAAGATAAAGAATCTTGATCAATCTTGGATAAAAAGGACTAGAATTGTTATTAAATTGATAAATCTTAATAAGATATATTGTCACTAATTTTCTAATAATTTTGTCGGAAAATAGGACAGAAAAAAGCTCATATTGGAAGAACAAATATGAAGTCTCGCGCTAGTAGCGTCAGAAGAACTTTTTGAACCAGAACCACCACGCTACTAGCGTGCACTGGCGCTAGCAGCGCCAACCATTCAAGCCAATCGCGCTGTCAGCGTGGGAACCACGCTAGTAGCGTGAACATGCAATATGCTGAACAACACTCCCACGCTATCAGCGCCAAACTGGCGCTAGTAGCGTGGGAGGTACGGGAAAATCCTAAAGCTGATCTCAGACTATATCAGAAAGATTAGACTAAGATATATGATGAAGATTCAATCAAGATTTCTAAGTAAGGGCACAGACTCTATAAATAGAGACTCAGACCCCAGAGACAAAACATCTTTGGCTGGAGAGAATTGTGAGGATCAGAGAATTCTTGGAGACTCGCGCTAGAGATCGGGATTCCACCAAAGTTGAAGACTGAAGAACATTGATCCTTCATCTTCTTCTTCTTTTCTTTTTCTTTCATGAACAATTTTTCTTATTTTAATTTGTTTAAGTCAGACATGAACATGTCTAGCTAATTTCTTTTTGTAGTTGGGATCATGGACTCAATGTGAATTCTTTATATTTCCTGTATTGTTTTTATAAGTTAATTAGTTAGTTTGTTTTATTCTGCCTGTGTTAGTTTTTTCATATCCTTATTAGAACTGATCACTCTAATTATAGGACTTTGAGGGTTAGGGCTCACAATAGACATATTGGAGTTTTAATCTGGATAAGGATAGAATAACAATTTGTGCATGACTAGACATAGGCTTATATAGATTGCATACTTTTAATTCATTTGCTTAATGCTTAATTCAAGAGGAATTACTAGGACACTAGGATTCTAATTGGGTTAAAGGGTTGAAATCACTAAGACATTAGGGTTCAACTATTTTATAGGGAAATAATGAATTGCCTGAGCAAACAAATTAGTTAATTACAAAATACAATATAGGAATATAAGGGAGGATCGGAGGTGAAGTGCATCCTGACTACAGTTTCTTTACAATTCTTCATAACTCATATTTTTCGTGATGTTCTTGATCTTTTCTTGCATTAATGTTTTTAAAAATTTTGTTTTTAAAATTACAACAATCAATCACTTTCACAATCAAATCAATTTTCTTTTCCAACTTAAGAGGAATAATTAAATTAATACTTGGTGCATTAATCCTCGAGGGAACGATATCTTACTTATCACTTTTATTACTTGAAACGAACGGTATACTTGCCGATTTCGCAACAAGTTTTTGGCGCCGTTGCCGGGGATTAATTACGTCAATATTAGTTTTAACTTTCGATCTTTGAGATTGGAATTTTTATTTTTCTTTTGTTACTGATTTGATTTCTCTCTTTTATGCGAGGTAAAGCTAACAGTGAACCTTTACAGTTTGATCCAGAAATCGAAAAGACTGTAAAGAAGAACCGAAAGCTAACCAAACTAAAGAAGCAAGAGGAATCCTCGAGTTCAGAGTCAAAAGCAGACCCGAGATGACAACACCTAATCCACCACCGAAGGAAGAATTAATGGAGTCAATCCTGGCTCCACTGTTTACAAGGCCAAATTCTAGCATCGTCAGACCACCAATCAATGCTAACAATTTTGATATCCAGCCAACACTCATATCCTTGGTTGAGAAAAATCCATTTGGTGGTGAAGATTATGAAGACTCCCATGATTTCATGGACATATTTCTGAGAATCTGTGACACTACCAAGCATAACAGGGTGTCAGATGATGCAATTAGACTCTGACTGTTCCCTTTTGCTGTAACAGGGAAAACTCTCAGATGGTTGGATAGACAAGCCCCCAACAGTATTAGAACATGGGATGAACTAGCGGCCAAATTCTTTGCTGAGGACTTCTCCATGGAGAAATACAACAAGTTGGTTAATGAAATTACCAACTTCACTCAACAACCAGGAGAAACTCTATGTGCAGCTTGGACCATATTCTAAGAATTGATCAGAAAGTGCCCCCAGTATGACTTGCCGGATGGAAAGAAAGTCAGAGTCTTCTACAATGGAATGACACCAGACTTCAGAATGGTTGTCAATGGTGCAGCTGGTGGAACAATAGGGAAGAAGACAACAGCTCAAACTTTAGAGCTGATCGACTACATGGCAAGGACTGAGAACGCATCAAGGGCAGTTCAACCAGTTCAACCAAGAAAGAGAATTTTGCAATTGGGAAACAATGATGCATCGTTAGCTGAACAAAAGATCTTATCTCAACAGCTCGCCAGTTTGAATGCTAAATTGGACAAGATGCAACTTTCTACAGCTCAAGTTAACTCAATTAACTGTGAGTATTGCAAAGGAGAGCATGGGACCAACAAATGTCCAACACTTGTAGGAGCTGATGCATTCCAAGTTAATGGAGTCTAGTATGATCCAAAACCACAACAGAACTTCTAGAGAAACCAAAAAAATACTCTAGGGAACAATTTCCAAAGGAGAGTTCAAGGAGGAGGTTTGGATTACAAATCCAACCAATATTTACAACCTTCTCCAATTCCACAGACTCAACCATCTGAATTAGAAAGAGCTTTACTGCAATTGACAAAGACCACCGTTGAATTCATGCAAGAGACCAGATCCGCTTTCAAGAATCAAGAAGCATCTATAAGGAATCTGGAAACTCAAATTGGGCAGTTGTCAAGACAATTAGCTGTGAGAATCCAGGAACATTCCCCAGTGACACCATAATCAACCCAAGGGAGCACTGCAATGCCATCACTACTAAAAGCGAGGATCTAGAAAAAGTGGAAGCTTCTACAAGCAAGATGAGCACACTCAAGAAGACAAGAAAAAAGCAAAAGAGCTACCTCCTGTAGTTCAGAAGAAGCAATGAGATTTCTCACGTTTTGAGAAACCTCCATATCCCATAGGGAGCAAGCAACATGAGCAAAGGAAGCAATTGTCTAAATTTTTAGATATTTTTAAAAAATTGCAAATTAACATTCCTTTTGCATAAGCTTTGGAGAAAATGTCTTTGTATGCCAAGTTACTGAAAGAGACATTATCTAAGAAGCGGAAGCTCACAGAGGATGAACATGTTACACTAACAGAGGAGTGAAGTGCAATCATACAGAAAAACTTGCCTCCAAAGTTGAAGGTGTAGATACAAAGTATGTTTTGATGATAACAAAGTGGCAACAACAACAAAAAGCATGATCGTTTGATCAAGAGCAAAAAACATCAACCATATGTGGATATTGAAGATGTATGATGTAGCCACACAAGAAGAGTGATGTCATATCAAAGTGGCAAGATCATTGGATCAAGAGTAACAAGGAATAATTAGAAGAACAATAACAAGATCAAAGACAACTAACCATGGACAACATCTAAGAGAAGCTCAATATCATAACCATGGTGAAAAATGATCAAAACCAACAAAGTGTCAAGTACTGTCACATTCAACAAGTCAAAGCATCAAGTTCAATAAAAGATCCAAGACACAAGAATTGAAGCTAAGTCTAAAATCATATTTAGAATATATCTTTAGGACGTAGAATATATGTGAGGGTATATGATAGATTTCATTGCACGAGCTCAAAGTTTTTCTTAAAGTAAATATGTTTTTCAAATTGCATCATAACCTTTATATACTTGAAAGAAATTTGAAAAATTCATGGAAAAGATCCTTGACATATTTTATAACTTCAAAACATATTTATCAAGTCAAGATCTTTCACAAAAAGTAGTTGGAAGCAAGCTAGAACACATTTGAACTTATAATTTGTTGCTTAATTCTGCTGCTGCATTCCATACAATTTTTCATATCTAATATGATAGATTTGAATCTTGTGTTCTTTATAAAAGTTGTAGATCTCTCTCTTATCTTTCCAAAGAGACTAAGATCACATTAATCCGACAAATATAACTCAAATTATAGCCAAAATACAAAACAGTGTTCTTGTTGTCAAGTTGGAAATCGACTACCACTGCAACAGATCCCAACGACTATAAAACAACTAGTTTTTCAAAAGTGGTCCCAACGACTATAAACAACTATAAAACGGCTAGAAATTCGCAAACCGAGTCCAGTTTGGTGCCGATCCGCGTCATGCTTCTGAAATTTGTAGTGTGATACACCCGTGTGGAGTTGCATCAACAGGCTTTTTATAATTTTCACTTCTTTTTCCTGTAAAAACACAACCAAAAGGTGAATATTATTGACATAGAAAGAATCAATATAAATAGCAAATATGTATTTAAATTTCTCTTTTATGACTCAATTCTTATCAATTTTAACACAGAAAACCACACTTGCCAGAGGCACATCACACATCCTCCAGGTTCCGTCTTTCTTAGGGACCAACAAGGCAGGTACTGCACAGGGACTCATGCTCTCCCTTACTACACCCTTCTTCACTAGCTCATGTACCTGTTTATGTAACTCCTCATGCTCCTTAGGGCTCATCCTATATGCTGCTTTGTTGGGAATAACAGCTCCCGGCACAAAATCAATGCAATGTTGGATGTCTCTCATAGGTGGCAATCCCGATGGCATTTCCACAGGAACCACATCAGCAAAGTCTTCTAACAATGGCTTGACCTGCAAAGGAATGTCAGAAACACTACAATTCTCTTCCATCACCACACAAGCAAATACCTCAACGACATTAGCAACTTCTTCTGGATAGAATTGTATTCT